GTAAATCCAAGGAATCATCTTTGAATAATTTTTTTTTCAGTGCACTAGCTTATAGGTATCCTAAAAATTAAGAATACTGATACTAACATATATGAAAAAAACGTATTTTAATTACATGGAACCTTTAAGAACAGTCTCACTAAACTCTTAATATCTTTAAAACTGAAAGCTCTCAGGGTAAAGTACAGCTACACTGTTAGAGTCTATACAACAACATGCAAGTGACTAAAATGCAGTTTTAGTGTGGTTGACAGAAATAAAGAGAAGATGCATTAAAAAAAATTAAGGTCTAATAAAAACTAATCAAATGATGTCAAATGTCTCTCCTCCCTGACAGAAGTTTTTAGGTCTTGGCCTAACCTCAGTAATGAGCTGTTATATTTAGGTTGTGAATGATTACCTCCTGCCAGAAGTAAATGAAAACTTACAGACTGTGTGTGAAAGAGATAACGTGACCTTCTTAAAAAGATTAGGTCCAGTAGATCCTTTAATTGGGAAAACGATTAGACACGTGTTGATCAGATACTTGACTGGCACTGAAACGGACTACCATAAAATATAAAACTTCAGTGTACACTCAACAACAAATACCCTTTAGTCAATTATAAACAGACTGATGCTTTGGAACACAGGTGTCAAAATCAGTTCCTGGAGGACCGCAGCTCTGCAGTTTTGATTCAACCCTAATCAAACACAGCTATTCCACCTAATCAAGGTGTTCAAGATTCTATTGAACATCTCAATTATGAGGATCAGCTGTGTTTGATTAGGGTGTGCAGAAACTGTGCAGAGCAGCAGCCCAGCAGGAATTTGACACCTGTGCAATGGAACTACATTTCCAACTAACACTTTTGACCACCAAATCTGCTGAGTCGAATTTAACCCATGTTAAATCTGTAAGATATCTTAGCCTAGTCTCGTATACACAACTACCTTTGCAATCCCACAGGTAAGCAAGGATGTAAACTTTCTCTACGGTGGTTTGCATCACTGTTCATTATGCAACCCTTAATCTCCACGTGTCAGGCTTACCTAGGCCAGAGGATTCACACATCGTTCCTCAGCCAAGCCCCTTTAAAGCCCCGGCATCCTATAAAGAGCCAAACCATTCCCGCGTGCCATTTCCAGAGTGACTGCGTCTGAAGAAAGAAGTGGATGTTCGGAACTCTGAAAACAAATAGCTGTCTTGATCATGCCAAAGATCACATCCCCTTCCTGCCGCACTGCACCTCCAAGACTGAATTTCTGTCCTACTTGTTCCTCTACATCTCCAAGATGCCTTTCCCACCTGTAACCAGACCTCGGAGTCTACCCAACTCCAGCAAAGAAAAACTTCCAGGACCGTCTCCTGTCATTCTGGTTACGACCACAGAAGAGAAAAGTTCTGTGAAGGAGCGGCTTAAAAAGTTAAGCAAGAAGGCCACGCCGCATAAAAGCAAGCTGCCCACCAGTCGAGCCACCTCAGGATTAAGGATGGAGGGAAGGAATACGTGGGTTTTGCCTTCAAGACCTGCAGGTCCAACAAGTTCCTCTAAAAGTACTTCAGGCATCCCGATCTCTACAACCAACACCTCAAGCAAGAAAAGGCTTCCTATTAGCGTTTCAGCAACAAGCATCCCAATGGAGCCTTCCAGTCCTCCAGCCTCCTCCGGATCAAGCCACGGATTGAATAGCGAATCAAACTTCTCTCTCAACTTGACTCCCGAGGCCACTTTGCTCCTGCAGAGACGCAACCGTGAGAAGCAGCTCCGCGCAAGTCGAAACAACTCAACATCCCTGCAACCTAAAGACCGTCTAGCGGCCAAGACAAGTTTTCGATCCAATATCCCATTGGTGAAGATCTCTCTTCTCAACGAGCGTCACCGATACGACGACGTGGAGTATGAGGAAGATGAAGAGCAAGGTGTGGATCAGAGCATCCTGCTGAAGTGTTCGGAATGGTTGCGAGGGGTGGAAAATGCTGCCGGAGCGACCGTTTTGGGAAGGGTGGATAAAATCAGTCAGAAGAGCATCTAACAGTTACTTGTGACTTAAACGTGGGAGTTGAGTAGTGGTCGACTGATGTGGGTCCTGCAATGTCCGAGACTGAACCAGCTAGGTGCCTTATGGCTGATACATGCTAAACAATTTATTACTTGCAGAAAATTAGGCGTAAATGTAATTCCCACCATTATTATAGCCAGTTTTCACGCTGCTACTGGTGTGTTTTAGATTGAGTCATTGGAAACCAACACTTCTTTATTTTAATGGACATGGATATTGGCTAATGATCGGTTTGCAACAGTAGGGAAGGGAGCTAATACAAGCAAGGTCATGGGTTCAATTCCAAGGTAATGCATTCCTTGCATGCATTCATTTATTTATTTTTTTATATATACAAGCCAAATATAAGCTATGCATGATGTTGATCCACTGGCCTCTCAGTATTCTTGTGGAATTTTAGAAGTTCTGGACACATTTGGCAGCAAACCATGACAGAATCTGTGCTTGACTTGTCAAGTTCAGGCAACTGATTAACAGTGAAATGAATACATCATCTGATTTGAAGCTGAATAGGAATTGTATGATAATTATATCTACATTTAACTGTAAGACCATCCAGAGGTCAAGCTTACGATGCAACAAGATTGTGTTTTTAATTTGTAACGCAGTTTCTTTAAAAAGGGATTTGTACACTTCCAGTTTTACCCAATACCAAGTACCCAAAATGTTTATTGATCTAACTCTGAATAAAAGATGATCTCCATCCTCCCACAATTCATTGCTGTCTGCATGATCACATTAAGCCTCTCTTTTCCTCCTAAGTGCACGCACGACTCAAAGATATATTTGCTGTGTTACTATAAGTAGCTTAAGGGGCAGGGTTTAGACAGACTTAGCAACAAACAACACTGCTCACTCGTAGCACTTCCTAATCTCATTAACAGACAAGTGACTTCACTTTTAAGCAAATAGCAAAGGTTAAAGTCACCAGGAATTGTTTCTTCAAGAAGAAATGATTGTCGCTAGTTGTTTTGGCAGACATTTAATACGAATATTGATAATATAAATATCGAAAATATTGTCAGTCATAATTTAAAAAAAAAGTTTTCTACTTTATTATATAATACCAGATGAATTATAATATACAGCGGGGAAAATAAGTATTGAACACCACACCATTTTTTCCAAAAAACCTATTTCTAAAGGTGCTGTTGGCTTAAAATTTATACTGAATGTGGATAACAACCAAAGAAATCTAAATATGCAAAGAAAACAAATCTAATTAGTTTACAAAGTTTTGTGTATTAAGATGAAAAGACACCAGGGAAAAAGCATTGAACACATGAAGAAAGGGAGGTTTAGAAAGGCAGTGAAAGCCCAGACAGCAACTGAAATCTCTCAGCAGTTTTTCTGCAACCCTCTGCTTTTCCTTAGTGCAAATACATTTTCGCTGCTTTAGTGCAACATCATTATCAGGATGATGAAGATAAACCAAGGGTAAAGATTTCAGCAAGACAATGATGGTATACAGGAATCGGAGATTAAAATTCAATACCTTTTAAGACTTTTTATAAGACTCTATGCATACAATTTAAGATCTCATCACCAATTCAGGCTTCCAACCAGTAACATTGTGGACATTTTAACTTGCAGCATATTTACTAAACACTGATTGCAAGAAATGAATCCTAAACTAAAACTGTATTTATATACAGATTAAAAATGTTAATCCAGCAGGTGGCGCCTTTACAGCAGCAGGAAAAACAGTGTTTCCCTGGTTACTGCAATAAACAAAGCAGTGTGATGCCAAATCTAACAGGATTTTTTTTATTTGATAAACTGCACAACATCCCAATATTCAATGATTTAATTCTGGTAAAATTTAGCAAACCGATACCAAATTTAATGCCTTGTAAAATAGCCTTTGATACTTTTTAAGGGCCTTAAATTCCTCTAAATTGATGTATCAATTTTCAATAATTTTTAAGACGCCATGGACACCCTGAATGATCCAAAACACAGCCAAAGAAACTCTCTAATGCTTTCAGAGAAAGAAAAATCAAGCTGTAGAATGGTTCAGCCAATCACCTGACTCGAATCCAATTGAAAATACAACATAAATATCAGATTTGATAGACGAGACCCACAGAACAATAAAGATTTTTACACTCCGTTGAAGTTTTATATGAAGTATTAAATACATTTCAGTAGTTCAGCATTTTCTCCTTCTGTCATTGTTATTACACAGAACTCATTGTTCAGATTTTTATGTTTTATTTTATTGTTATGTTTGTATTGTTTGGGTTTTTACCAAAATCTGGTTCAGTCAACAGCTCCTTCAGAAATATTATTTAAAGGAAAAAAACATGACATGTTCAATACTTATTTCCACTGCTGTATTCACCTTATTCTTTGCCGACAAGCGGGCGCAGCCATTTGAATCTTTTAGGCTGAAGACTTCCGCTCTCATTCACTTCCATTTATTTTTAGAGGTTAAAAACTGCTCGTTACGCTGCTTGATGTCGCAAACTGATATTTTCTTATTATATTATTCTACTTGGTCTGTATAGTAATGCAAACATTTGTTTGTAGAGCAATTAGTTTGGCCGTTTTCTGCCGTTTATTATTCCTAGTCATTTCTCTCACAGGCGACTCAATCGGAAGTTCTAAAACAATCGTGAAAACAGGCGCACTTCCGCATTTTAGAATGACATCATCATATACACAGACTATGACTTTGACTGAAAGAGCATATATAGAAGTTTTCAAGTAAGTTGTGTATCTTAAAGCAGTCTCAACAGTAGTCTGCAGCATTTACTCTTAAACCGATTCTCCCTGGCAAAGACTAGGTGAGGCCAAAAAGCATTATTAACATTTAATTTGCATGTGTTTTACATAGACGTGCAATGAGGCCGGCGAGCTACTCATCTCTCCTATTACATCTTATGATGTCGACTGAAAATTTGAGTAACAAAGCAGTTTGAATGCTCCTAAACCTCAGTGTCAGGTGTGTGTTTAAATCTCTGTGTGCACAAGTGGCATAACGCACTCAAGCTATTCACACAGGAGCTATTGACAATACCGACACTTCATTTCTGAGCGACATAACAACGAATTCACGGTAGGCTGAAATTATACAGATATTTTATAGATCAATTGTGATTGATTAATTATATTCTAGCTATTATTTATAGATAGTTTAGCTTTGAGATGTTGAAATAAGAATAAAATGATGGTTGGTGATTTAGATGGATGAGCTGGATGAAGATCAGCTGAAGAATCATGTGGAAAGCCTGAAGCAACAGCTCAAGTATAACAGAGTCAACACATCCGTCTCTGTTCCAGAGTGAGTCTCACATACACAAAACTGCATGTATAAATAGTAGCTGTATTTAAATCATTTCTGTCAGTCGATATTTATAAGTATTTATATGTATAATTAAATAAAATAATAATAATTACTAAAAACAAATTATCACAATGTTCAAACATATCCATATAACAATCAAATCAGATTTTGAAGTCCAAAGTTTAGTAAAGCAAATAAAATATATAAAGATAGATTACTGATAGATTAAAGCTTAGTAGCGCATTTTTTAGTTGTTCCACTAATGCATTTATTTTCAGGTTAATTAAATGGATGGAGGAGAAAATGACAGAGGATCCATTTGTGAATCCAGATGCCATGAAGGACAACCCGTGGGTGGAGTCGAGCAAATGTGTAATACTCTAGCACAAGAGCTGTCAATCATCCCTATGGCAGCAGAAGTGGCTCCGCCCTCTTACACAGGCTGACTTTGAATATGATTAAGATGCAAATGAACTCATTGTCAGTGAATCTGCTTTGTTGTTTACTCTCATGATAATAAGAAAGCGAATGTTTCTCAGTGAAAACATGTATTTATAAAAGTGTAAGACAACTATACAACAGCACAATAAAAAGAAAATGAGGAACCAGTGGTGTTTTTTCCTTTTTCAAACAATTTAGATGACTGTTTTGTTTAACTATTCAGAACATTTTAGATTTTTACAGATTGACATGTACTTCATCCTTTCTCCAGATCAGTTTACAGCAACTCTCGAATGTAAACGTTTCTGCGCACTGCATTGGACACACCTTCATTAAAACGAAACCAGACGTCGCTGTTTCCCACAGCTTTACCAATGTTCAGCACGCCACTCACTTTGCCATCTTCACCTGCAGAGAGAAACCACATCAGCTCATAATTAGCATTATACTGAACAAACATACTGCCATTTACTGTACGGTAAAGTATACATGCACACCCACCAGCCACTTTATTAGGTACACCTTACTAGTACCAGGGTAAGTCCCTCTTTTGCCTTCAGAACTGTCGTAATCCTTCGTGGCATAGTTTCAACAAGGTACTGGAAATATTCCTTAGAGATTTTGGTCCATGTTGACATGATAGCATCATGCAGTTGATGTAGATTTATCGGCTGCATATTCATGATGCAAATCTCCCATTCCACCACATCCCAAAGGTGCTCTATTGGATTTAGTTCTGGTGACTGTGGAGGCCATTTGAGTACAGTAAATTCATTTTCATGTTCAAGTAACCAGTCTGAGATGATTCATGCTTTATGACATGGTGCGTTATTCTGCTGTAGTAGCCATCAGAAGATATGTACACTGTGGTCATAAAGGGTTGACATGGCGAGCAACAATACTCAGGTAGGCTAGGGCGTTGACACGATGCTCAATTGGTACTAATGGGCCCAATGTAAGCCAAGAAAATATCCGCCTCACCATTAAACCACCACCACCAGCCTAAACCATTGATACAAGGCACGATGGACCAATGTTTTCATGTTGTTGATGCCAAATTCTGACCCTACCATCCGAATGTCGCAGCAGAAATCAAGACTCTTCAGACCAGGCAACGTTTTTCCAATCTTCTATTTTCCAATTTTGGTGAGCCTGTGGAAACTGTAGGCACAGTTACCTTCTTAGCTGACGGGAGTGGCACCCAGCAGGTCTTCTGCAGCTGTAGCCCATCTGCCTCAAGGTGTGATGTGTTGTCTGTTCAGAGATGCTCTTCTGCATACCTCAGCTGTAACGAGTGCTTATTTGAGTTACTGTTGCCTTTCTATTTGCTAGAACCAGTCTGACCATTCTCCTCTGACCGCTGGCATTAACAAGGCATTTGCGCCCACAGAACTGCCACTCAATGGATATTTTCTCTTTTTCTGACAATTCTCTGTAAACTATAGAGATGGTTGTGCATGAAAATCCCAGTAGATCTGCAGTTTCTGAAATACTCAGACCAGCCAGTCTGACACAAACAACCATGCCACGTTCAGTCACTTATATCACCTTTTTGATGCTTGGTTTAAACTGCAGCAGATCGTCTTGATCATGTCCACATGCAGAAAAATCATTGAGTTGATGCCATGTGATTAGATATTGCGTTAAGATATTAGATATTATAACGAGCAGATGGACAGGTGTACCTAATAAAGTGGCCGGTGAGTGTATATAAAAATCAACATACTTGTAGCAGTGACCACAGGCTTCTCCTTGGGTACAATGGCTCGTCCAAAAAAGTCCAATTCGGGCTGTAAACGTGAAAAGAATAAATAAGCAAGCATTCACGTGTGAAAGCACTTTGACCCTGATCCACTATTAACCCAATTAATGTTGGATTATTATGAAGCATAAGTCAAGCATATGTAAACAGAGTCAGTGTGAGGTCAATTAGATTAAATGGTGGCACAGAATCAGTGTAAAATGGATAAAGAGGTCAATTTGCTAAGTTCAGTGCAAAAGCAGCGTTTTTTTATTCACATTAGGAACAAACTAAATTATTTAAGGGCATTAGGTTCATTTTTGGCATCTTGAATTTAATCAATAATCTAAAGCCAACATTTGCAAACTTTGTCTGCAAAAAATGTAAAACTGACAAATGTTACACAATGCCAGAGTGAAGCTGTAAATCCACAATCTCAGCACTGAATTTGCTATGGAAATACATGATGGACTGGACTTAAATACAATTTAAAGTTGTGTTCACAGTTTGTTTTTTGGTTTGTCTAGTGTGGACCAAATAACAAAACAATTCCTGATTTGTTTAGCTTCACACTATCATTTTTAAAGGGGACCTATGATGCAAAACTCACTTTTATAGGGGGTTTAAGCAAAGTGTGTCAGAAGTGTGTGAATATAACCAGCTTCTATTGGTACAATTTTTTTTTTGTAATCACACTCAATAAAAAAACCCTTTGTACATGTCATCAGTGGGGGAAAGCCCCGCCCACTAGTGATCAACTCTCGTTCATTAGCATAAGACATTAGTCTGGTTTTTGAATTTGCAGCTATGCTGACACATAGGCATTTGTAGCTCCGCCTTCTTTTGAAAAAGAGCACAATCTCATTTAAATTTAAAGCGACAGTCGTCAAAATAACATTTTGAATCAAAGCATGAAAGGGGCAGTTATAAAGCATTACATGTGTGCTATTTTGAGCTTCACATACACACACTCAAGGGTTATCAGAGACTTATTTTACATCTTGTAAAAAGGGGCATAATAGATCCCCTTTTGAACCCAACCTAAAGATACATACATAAAAAATGGTATGGCATATTTGCTAATAAAACTTAAAAAAACAACAACCAACCAACCAAAAAACAAACAAAGCAAAAAAACAATGCTGTTTGCTCGACTAAAGATGCTTGTTGCATATGCATACAGAAAAAGTGAATTTTATCAGTTGAGAGCTCATACAATCTTACAAAATATGTAAAAGAAGTCCAAACAGCATCAGAAATTTCCCTACTGCACACAAAAAAATGAAGATCTGCTGGAAAACTAATGGTTTCCGACAGCCACAATGCTCAACATAGCATTCATGACATGCAAATCAGGTATGCTTGTACCATTCTGAGCTTTTTTTTATTGTCAAATCCAGTTTTTGATTACTTTAGACGTCTTTACTTAATTTAGATGTCCATGGTTGATTAAAACCATACTAGATAACATTGTGAAGTGGACAGAGGCCCATGTTTACAGGGTTCAGTTGTTTGGTTGTATACAAATATTAGAATATCAGCATTCAGATGAATTCAAATGAACCACACTAACAGCAAATGCACAACTGAATTAAAACCGGCAAGTGTAATTAAAGCCTAAAAATGGGAGGATTTCTGGGGCTGCAGAGATCGTTTAGGACAGATCCAAAGGATTTAATATGGTTTAACATAAGTGTTTTACCCTGGTCTCCACCACAGTCTGTTTTACGATGTTCTCCAGCCTCTGTTGATGGTTCCTGCTTGTCTGTTTCTTCACTTCGGTTTTCTTTTCTTCTTGATTCTTATTTACGGTCTCCATCTAAACACAGGACGAATAATAACTTAGAAATAATGATAATTCTGTTTAGACAAAAGCATAAACAGAACCTCAGAAAACAAACTAAATTAAATAGACTAAAACCTATGAAACATTTAATTCTGTATTTCAGAATAACTAATAAATATTCTTTCTAATCTAAAAGCATTTAAATGTCCATGTATTGACACTCATATAATTTAATATAGCAGATACTATGTTTTAAATGGTAGACTTTTACAGTACAAAAGCATTAAGTTTTACAATAATGTCTATTAGTTAACTTTAATGCATAAACAATGAAATTCAATTTATTAGAGTATTCAGTTATTACTACATCTCGAAATGAAGATTAACTAAGAATAATGAATGCTTTAGGAGTATTTTTCATCACTTGTACACATTACTAAAGTAGTTAACTAATATTAACAAATCCACCTCAATGTAAACTGATATAATAAAAATAATAAACTGTCTCTAAATAAATAGACATTTTAGCACCATTTTATTTTTTTACAGTTTAATAGCGACTTGAAGTTTTAAAAACATCTTAATAATTTATTAAAATCTAATATTACTTATTTAGCTTAAGTACTACATTATGTACTATGTTAATTAAACAAATCCATATTATAATGCTATATCATATAAAATCATTTATACAGATTTTTTTCAGATGCTTTATAGTATTGTATCAACTTTATAGTATTGTTCTGCTTGTAAATGCATTTATTTGTGTGTGCGCATGCCTTACTTACTGTAAGTTTTGATTATGCTATGTTCTCTCTCTCTCTCTCTCTCTCTCTCTCTCTCTCTCTCTCTATGAGTGTGTGTGTGTGTGTGTAATTCTTACTTTCTGTGGGTTTCGACTCTGCTGTGCTCTCTCTACTCTCCTCATCCTCTCCAGTTCCGTCTCCCTGGCGATGAGCTGCTTCACCTGATAGGTTAACTGTCTCCGAGGAGGTAAACCAGGATAATTCACCACATCTTCAATATTACTGTCAAAATAAACATCAACGGTCAGTAATGTACCTCTTGTACATTCAATAACTAAAAACATTAAAATATGATCATAGAGCTGGATGATAAAATCTGTATCAATATTTATTGACCAAACATCGTCATCATCGCTAAAAAAAAATCTGGTATGAAGTTTCAGTATAAAGCGCTCTAGTTGTATTGAAATGTGGCTAATAAGCGCGCAACATGGAAGCAATGCCAATAAGCCTAGGGTGTAAGTTTGACATTTCCAATGGAGTCGCGCGACTTGCCCGATGCGCATATAGGAGTGATGCGCACATGTTGTGCAAGCACCGCACACATGATGCTAGTTGAAAAACATCTTAAGTTTTTTGAATGCGTGAGCACATTAGTAATGTTGCAATATGTGTATAAATAATGATGGTCGGTTCCTTTACTTGAAAGCTCAGATTTGATTATCATAATTTGTTTTGTTTACAGAGTTTGAGGTTTACGGTGTCATTATTTTTCACATTTTACAAATGTTGATCAACCTTAAAGTTTGCTTTGATTGTTCAGTATTTACGCTTTACCACTGCACACTTTGTAACATTTTACTTATCAAGTTTAAGAGCCTCTTTAACACTTG